TTTTATGAAACCGGCCACCTGCTTCCCCCGCAGGGGCCGCTGGAGGAGGGGCGGCAGACCAGGTGGCTGGGGGAAGCGCCAGGGGCTGGGGCACCCTGCGTTTAGGCAGGGTCCACTCCTCTCTTTTTCCGTTCCTTTTATTTAAGTCGTTTTATTTAATAAAAAAGTTAGCTATTTCACTTAACGCCGCTTTTATTCCGTTTTCGTTCCCATAATGCTCGGCGACCCCCGGCCCGCGCCCCACCCTTGCGGCGGTAGAAGCCCGGCCGCGGTGTGCGGGGCGCATCCGCTTCTCCAAGCTTCGTCGGTATTCGCCTCAACTCGACCCCCCGCCCGGGCCCCGCGGAGGAGCCGCGGTGCAGGTCAGTGCATGCCGGCCACCAGCAGTCCGGGTGCCCGCGGAATGGGGTGCACGTGGGGAGGGCCCTCTAGGCCCAGAGGTCGCAGGCCAGCGCCAGAGCTGGGGAGTGAAAGGCCAAACCAGGTCAAACCCACTTAGGGGGTGGGAGGCACGGTGACCTAGAACTTCTGGGAACGCAGAACCTCCCCCATCCCCCGCCCACACTGTCCGCTCTTTCCAGTGAGGCCTGGGGAGGCCCTGGGCCGGACCAACCCCACTGGCTGTAAGGGGGTTCTGGGCGCATTGCGGGCGGGTTGCGTGTAGAGCGGGTGCGTGCAGAGCGGGTGGGGAGTACTGCTGTTTACAACCCCAGGTCACCCGCGCTCTTTGGGTTTAGGTGCGACCATAGGTGAGGTGTGACTGCATGTGACGTCACTGCAACCTCTATGATGTCACCGGATAGGAGTGGGGTGGGGCGCCAGGAACACCCAGAACCCCAAGCCCGGATGTGAAAGCCGCGTGGCCTAGTCCACCCAGCCTTACCTTGGTTTAAAAGTTGCAAGTTTCGGGATCACTGGGTTGGTAGCTGATGGCTCCTGACAACGGCAAACTCACTCGATGCGTCTGTGAACATTTCGTCTTGCCCCTTGATTTTTTTCCTTTGATAA